ATATGGATTGTGGCTCACAATGGGCAGTAACTCCAGTGACTTGTATATGGACTGTGGCTCACAATGGGCAGTAACTCCAGTGACTTGTATATGGACTGTGGCTCTCAATGGGCAGTAACTCCGGTGATGTGTGTGTGGGCTTACCTGTCTGAGGGTAATGTGTCCAGATTAGGGTGGTGTGTTGTTAATTAACAGATACACACTAAAATTTTGAAAAAGTAAGAGATGTGAAAAAGTAAGAAAATGCATTCAGCTTGGATTTTATTGTTCACATTACATCAATGGCAATGGTATTATATTGTGGAGTAACAATGTGGGTTTACCAGGATCTCAATTTCAATTTACACATCTATTCCTGTCGGTCTAAGTACAGGTTAAATACAAAAAATGAGGTGCCTTTGTGCTAGAATTTCAGAGCTGAAAACCTTCAATTTGGCAATAAAAAGTAATTTCAACTATTCAAAAGGGGATGTCCTCTACTTCTTGATTATGTCCTGGTTTAAGATGCTTGTACAACTGTTGACAATGTCACGGAGTGAGCTGTAACCGGCAGTTTTCAGGTTAAAAATGCTCTGAAGCGCAGAATGTCCCCAGCGGGCTCCGGTAAGAGCTCAATGGCTCCCCCAGCAGCAGCCCTCTACACTCTGAAACGGCCACGTATGAATGTTTCCATCGCCGCACCCGCTAGCCAATCAGAACCCGCAACCCCGGAGGCACAGTAACGAATCCCTTCTGTAGTAACTCTCCCATAGCAACGAATGTGATCGACAGCTCTTGCCGTCCAACCAGCAGCTTCTTGTGGTTTCGCGGTCAGGCTAAACGCACCACTCTCCGCCAGGGGTAAACGGTACTCTCCTCTCGATTGGCTGCAACGTGTCCATAACCAACCAATCAGCCCCTCAGTTTCTACCGACAACACCGCCCATTGTTCCCATCCGAGTAGGCTGGGCTGTCAAGTCCACGACCAATAGAGTGATATTGACAGGACAGAGGACCAATCACCTCTATTGTTTGGAGGGCTGAACTGCCGGCTGGAGTCCTTGTTTGAGTGACATTTCCTTGCGCCAACTGGGAGGAGATGAGTACATCGGTGACTGGGATTGACAAAGATGCTGCCCGATAGGAGTGCTGCAATCTGTATTTACCTGGAACGAACGTGCATCTCCGTCCAATGCGTGTGTGGAGACAGGGTGGGCTGAGCGTTGCTAGGGCAGTCTCGCCGTCAAGTATAAAGGGAATAATATGGGGCTCTAGTGGCTGTTCATGTTTACGTTAAGGAAGGAGGTGGGAGGGAGAGGAAGAACTTGCCTTTAGTACTGTAAATAATTTCAACTTTGATATCGTGGTGTCTTTTTCCGTCCCTGTGCCCGATCGCTCATTTTCCCTTCACTAATGTACCACTCCTACAAATGGAAAAGGGGTCTCAGCTTGCAAACGTGAGCCTTTCCCTCCTGCTGCTCTTGCTGCTGCTCCGGGCACACGGTCCTGTCGGGGGCCAGCCGGACACCGACACCGCCGCCGCCGCGGGGCCGCAGGCGGCCGAAGATGGTCCGGGTGGAATGGAGCGGGGCCTGGAAAGCGTCGGGGCTGCCTCGGCTCTCGGCGATGTGACCGTGGAGGACGACGAGACCGGGGGAGCCGGCGAGGGCGACGAGTCGTCGGGGGAGACTGGCGGAGACGACAAGCTGAAAAGGTACGAAAAAAAGTTATTACATGCTGCATGGAGATCCGTCTCGCCCTAGCCCATGGTCGTTGTCGCTTGTTTTGTTTTGTGAAGTCACGGGAGTCACAGACGGATCTGCCCCGGCTTATAGGAGGATGTGCAGCTGGGGGGTGACCCCCCTAATGCACTTTTCACCCCGTGTCACACGCGAGGGAGGCGAGTGTGTCGCGGACACCGAGCTCTTCTCGTCGTTACGGACGTGCCGTTGAATCTGAGCTCCGAGTGTCGCCCTCGGAGGGGCGGCCGGTCTCCCGGCGTCGCACAGCCGGTCCAGGTGTCCCCTCGCCCCTGCCACGCGTTAGTCTCCGTCGGGCGTCCCTTGGGCGGGCACAGTCGAGCGACAACTTCGCGTTTTACAGAAGTGCAGATGCAGTTCACTGGCGATATGGGCGTGCTACGTGTGAGGAAACTGTTGTCTCGGTTATTAACCTCCCTTCCTCACGCATCACTTTCATTTTTGACAAACGTCCTCTGCGAAGGAGCTGGAGTTCCTGCAGTAGTGACTGGGCTCGGCTCTACCCCCCCATCACCGCCAGGACACAGACAGGTGTTGAATCCGAACAGGTCAGCATTTGACCAAAAGTCTCCTCCCGGTCGAAAAGTTTGTTTGCGGGTTATATATTATTAACTGTCTTTTTGTACTTCAACAAGTACAAAAGTTACAAGGCGCCGTTTTCTTTCTGCCGTGCTTTTACATTTTTTGCCCGCAGGGAGCTTGTTGCCCTTGCGGTGTGCGGCAGGCTCTGCGGGCCCCGGTGCGTGTTAGTGTCGAGCTTCCCGGGTTAAAAGGCTGTTTGCAGCAGAGCACAGGGTGTCGTGTTTTTTTTACAGCGCACATATCGGCTAGATGACAGTTTTCACTTCCTCCCTTCCACACCTCACCGAGAAATTCGCCCTTTGTTTTGCGTAAAGAGCCGCGGGCTGCGAGGATGCGGGCTGCGAGAGTTCCGTCTTGCTCGTGTTAAACATCTGGACACCAGAGGCGGTTAACCCCGAGAGCAGCACGTCCCGGGGCAGGGCTCTGCTGCATTGCTAGCACGCTGAACCTGAAGGGGGAAAACCATTCTCGATAAACCCTTATGAAACATGAACTTAGGAAAGTGACTTTTCGTGACTGTGAAAAGAAGACGACGCGGAATGCTTCATAAACAGCGGGTTGTATACTGTATAAGGACAAAAAGACTCCAAACCAACCCCGTCTCTTCACTTTCCCCTGAAACTTCACGAACTCGGGAGGGAGAAACCACTTTTCATGTCTCGCAAGGCAAGTACAAACTCCTGTCTCCGTAAAACAAGGCCGTAGGATCCTTCTTGAAAAAGCTATTGTTGGAAGAGAAACTGAAGAACTGCAAGGCTTTAAGAGAAAAATGAGATGGTGAGAATCGAATATCCTGTTAACACTTGGCGTAACTAACGTTACGGCATCCCGGCATGTGCGTCTCCTGTGGGATTTCACAGCAAATGCCAAGGAAACCGGCTGTGCTGCAGGGATGAGCAAGGCTAGTATTCATGGCAGAGAGCAAGGCAGTGGTGAGTGCACTGTGGGGAGCTTCAGGCTAGAGCTGCAGAGGCATGTGCTGAGAGTCGGAACAGCGAAGAGCTGGGAATGGTATCGGGTGAAACGCCCGTCTCCTGATCCGCAGGTTTTTTGTGTTGTAGTTGGCGATGGATGGGACTCGATTCCAGTTCATTACCTCCTGTGGGGCTGCCAGTTAACCAGTTGTGTGAGGCAGGCTTATTCCTCCAGCCTCCATATTGGGAGCAGTTTCCACAAGTTGGTTGTTAAGTTAAAATCGAATGGAATTGTTTTACTGTCTAATAAAGGGCTCCTCTAAAACTAAAGACAGTGTTTAGTCAGGGCAGCTGCCTGTTATTGTGATGTGGTGGCTCTAAAACCTCTGTGCTGTGCTCAGCTCTCTCCAGCCTGGCGATGCGGTGGTGCTGTGCTCAGCTCAGCTCTCTCCAGCCTGGCGATGCGGTGGTGCTGTGCTCAGCTCAGCTC